CAATGCATTATTTCATATAATTATAGATTACATAATTCATTATTTGATTTATTAGTGATTTCATAGGAATTATAACAGAATATTAAATAAAACATATAAACAGAATTAGACTTTTAATCAAAACATTGAAATTATTATATTTTACAACAAATTGTTTTCATTTATCAAAATCTATTGCAAATTTTATGATATTGATTAACATTACCACAATAATGAATTATAACATTTTATTGTAAACTAATTTAAAAATTTAATATAATTAGTAAAACAGAAAACGCATAATATTTTCAATAATTTATATCTATATATCAAAAATCAAACAATAATTGAATTCAAAGTTTTAGCAAAACTATTAAAATATATAAATTTTAAAGTTATTTATGAAATAAAATAAAATTCTTTAAATTTTAAATTAAAATTTCTTAAACATTCATATAAAATGATCATAATTATAATGGTTTCATTACATAAGCAACTTCATTGATATTACAAATTGTTAAATCTATTTAAAAATTGTTAAACAAACTTAAAACATTATTTTAAATTATAATTTTATTTATGAATTTAATGTAAATTTTAAAAACAAATTCTTTTCAAACTTTTTCAAAAATCAAAACAATTTATAAATTATTTCTTAGTTTTATTGAATAAATAATAAAAACATTTTCATAAAACTCATTGCATTTAATACTAATTTTTAAATTATTTTATTAAAATTATTTTAACTTAAATCAAGTCAAACAGATTTGGACTAAAAATACAAGATTTAAACAATAGATAACAATCAGAGATATGTTATCACAACAACTCAGTTGTGAACACGTTTTTGATATTAATTTTAATATTGAATTTTCAAAACACATGTAGTTTTTATCAAATATTCACATGTTAAATTGCAACGTCAAACACGTGTAAAATGTCAACACGTGTATTATTATTATTATGGCATAAGTAAACATCCCTTAAGTTTTATCGCAAATAATACAGTGAAATCAAATCAAATATTCAAATGTTTTGTAAGTTTTATTCATACAATGCATTCATTTCAGTAAAATATAAAACACAATGAATTTACTAAACAGTATTACATTAATTGTGATATATAACATGTGCCACAAAACAGTTATATGTGGTCCTTTGGACACTATGGTTGACGTCAGTAAGTATTAATAAATATAAATAATTAGTAAACAAATTAAAACTAATTTTTCATTTACACCTTTAGAGGGAAACAATGCCATCAAAGAGATCCGCATATTATATCAATTGTCACATAAGGAGGATATACCGCAAGTGTATTCAATAGTGAGGGGTTCGCCACTTCACGCCGAGATTGATTTCATGCCCAGTAATTCACCCCTTATTACATAATTCACTTTATATACTCTGGCCTAACCCACCCGTTCCCTCCCACAGCTTACATACCGGCAAACACCCAATACGTGGCCATAACTGTAATCATACCGGAGTTCACGTGTTTCGGTCGGCAATACATACTGGGCTTTCATCGTGAGCGGTGGCAAATGCCGGCCTGTCGTCTGTGCACTAACATCGACCAGAAGTACACTATGCCTGTCGTGTTATACTTGGGTCCAGACAGTGGATGCTATGATGTATGTGTATTTAATTACCATTTTGATTATAGTAATTATCATGGTAGTTTTTTGTCACTTGTAGGGTCGAGTGCCCACGTACTGGAAAGTGGAGGCCATTCCCTACAACCGGCCGCTGTCTGACAACACGGATCTGATCATCGGTTTGGTCTACGATAAGGACAAACAGTTGCGGATCTGTACCACCGATGAGAAAGAAGAGTGTTTTAACGCCAAAAATATATTTGTCTCAAACACTAGGAGTGGTCGCCGACGATAGATATCGTAAAGTGATAACTATTTTTAAACATCAGTCTATTTGTTAATTTTATTTATTTATTTGTCACTTTTAAATACAAGTTTTTTAATTAACAGCACATTTTATGTGTGTATAATATGTATATAAGTTTGTCACTAGAATGTGGGTTTTAAAAATTTATAAATATTAACATTTAATTATTTATACCATAATATCATTTATAATCATAGCTCTAATTGTGTTCACCAATCAATTTGAAACAATAAACTCGTGTTTATTTCTGCAATAAACCGATTGATTATTATTAACTATACGTATCTGTTGTTGACTGTCGTATACAAAGCCCAAAATCATATCCGTTTGGTCGTTATCGCGTGGATTCAGTGGCAGGGCTTCAACTTTCCAGATGGTGGGCACTCGACCCTATGGCCACACATCACATATTCAATAGAAATTACATTAATATTTCACTATTAATACCTCGTGTGTTTAGAAATGAAAGTGAAACCCTAGTTAATTCCCTAATTATCAAATGACTTAACAGTTTTAATATACAGATAAGACAGTTATTTACAGTACGGAAGTAGACACACATTTACAAACTACCGGTGCTTTTATGACAGATATATTATGGGATTTAAAATGCTGTGAAGGTGTGTGTGTTAAAAGGGTGTTGAAACATGTTAAGATGGAAATTTAAAATGACATACCTGTGCACACCAGGTATCGTCGGGCAGGTATAGCGTAACCGGCAATGTATACGACTGGTTAGTGTTGGTACACAACCGACACCCGGTCACAGCCCATACCTCCTGATGCCATCCTATAAACCACTGTTTGTTTCGTATCTTTTCGGGTAAAGTGACAGCAATTGAGACGTAATGAGTCAGTTGAGGTATATATCCTAAGTCCAACAGTAGATACAGTAATTAATTATTTTATAACAAACAAAATATATTCTCTCTCTCAAAATGATACATAAATTTTTAAGTTAGTTATAAACTAAATTAAAAGTATAGTCACAATGGATTTGAAGATATATTATATACTTGTAAATTTGATAGGTAAACATACCTACGGCCTGAGGGTACCCATAAATAATTACATAAATTATATTTATCAATATATTAGAAAACTATCAAATAATAATTTACAGTTTATATAAATGACATATCAGTTAAAACTTATAAGTAGTGAATGAATATAACTAACAAAAACAACCAATGCTTTAGTGATTAAGCTATAGATGTATACAAAACTGATGGTATGATTACTGGGAACGAAGTCCACTTCGGCGAAGAGCGGTAGACCACGGATTAGCGGATAGACAGTCTGTTCGTAGTAAAGGATCCTGATCGCACGGATACCATTGTTTCCCTCTATGTTGATCAGTGATTCATTATTAAAACATATACAGAAATCACCTTGCGCTATTAAATATATTTAAAATGCTTGGTTACTTACTAACATCAACCAAGTTTTGCAGGANTCTCTCTCTCTCTCTCTCTCTCTCTCTCTCTCTTTCAAATTTGATAAATTATAGATTAATTGTGAACTAAATCAAAAGTATAAACATAGTGGATTTAGAAGATACTTGGTCGCTTGGCCTATTAATACCCAAAAATAATTCCATAAATTATATTTATCAATATACTAGAAAACTTTCAAATAATAATTTACAGTTTATATCAATGGAATATCAGTTATAACTTATAAGTAGTAAATGAATATAACTAATAAAAACAACCAATAATTTAGTGATTATGCTATAGATGTATACAAAACTGATGATATGATTACTGGGAACGAAGTCCACTTCGGCGAAGAGCGGTAGACCACGGATTAGCGGATAGACAGTCGGTATATTGGGTACGAACTGTGTCTGTTCGTAGTAAAGGATCCTGATCTCACGGATACCATTGTTTCCCTCTATGTTGATCAGTGATTAATTATTAAAACATATGTATAATAAATGATAGTTTAATTTCCAAATGAATTTCATTTACATTCAGTGGCCGACAGACAGTGAAAGACATATCTGTTTTATAACTCAATGAAATAAAAAGAAACAAAATTTGATTTATTTATTTCCACTTTTCATTTGTTATACATTTTTTTGACAACAATAATAATTAAAAAGAGATGACATTTTGAAATATATGTCACAAAATATAATTAAGTTATTGTTATCTCATCGCCCATTATATGTGTTGTGTACAGTATATGGTAATACATTATTGTGTTATTGCTTTTATTATGTCATATAAATCGGTAATATTACTATTAACACAATTGTTTACATTATAAATAAGTAGCCAAGGTAGACAATTGTTTGACAAACAATCTACATATTATGTAGATAGCGGATGGGTATAATACTCTAATAATAAATGTACTATCTGGTTTATCCTGTCTATCCCTGGTTTGTTAGTAAAATCACAATTTACTCCACATTTATCCGATCACTCGTTATTCGTATCACTATTCACTTGAATTCAGTTCTCCATAGAATTAACATGTACATAATGGGAGTATTATTTATTTGTAAATAGTTTTAAATCGTTGAAAGGCTTTCAAGTTTAATGTCAATGATCTGTAAAATCTGTGGTAATATTAAAATTTTAAATCTACACAAATTATATTGTCATTAAAATATTACTGTTAAGAATATAATGTACATAAATTTGAATATAATCAAAGGATAAGATTTTTCCAACTAGATTTAAATTTAGAAAAATTTTAAATAGTTTGTTGGTTAATTTACTGATATAGGAAATGCATAATTAATTATAATTGCAAATACAATACACAATATAAGTATAAATATATGCCAATAATATGGGAAAATATACTCATCAACTCGTGGATGAGATATCGGAGGGGACAAAGCAGTGGTCAAATCAGTGGTTAAATCAGTGGTCAAATCAGTGGTCAAATCTGTGGTCAAATCAGTTGTCAAATTAGTGGCCAAATTAGTTGTCAAATGAGTGGTCAAATCGGTATAATGTAATTTAAACATTATAAAGTCATAGAAAACTGAATTATTATTAGATTTAAGTCTATTTAAAACTGAAACAAAATCCTTGTGTTTCGTTACAATAAACTTATTGATAGACCACTCGTTATAGTTAGCCAACACATCCCGACACTCAGGCCCTTGTTGCCAATTGGGTCCGATCATCATTGCCAGAAGTGTCCGATACATACATTGTAAGGATGTCTTGAATACCGATTCGTTTGCTACAAAAGTTAGTGAACTATACATTAATAGAGAATACAATAATTAATTAAATAAATACTAAAACGATTGCAAAACACTTACGCCTGAAGATTCACATTAAATAACTGTTCGCCGATAACATAGAGGCTATATATATCTGATTTATGGTTATATTTACCACTAAATACTTCGGGTGCCATATATCTAGAAGTGCCCACAACTGAGTTAGTAAAGGTCTGTTCATTTGTTTTAATCTCTTTGGCTAAACCAAAGTCACATAATTTTATAAAACGATTGGATCTGAAGTTGGGATCAATTAATATATTGTCGGGTTTGAGATCCCGATGAATGACTGGAGGCTTAGATTCATGTAAATATTGAACGCATTCTAACAGTTCTTTGAATATTTCACATGAAATGAAATATTCAAATACACTATTCATCTGGTCTTCCGGTTGTCTCTCGAATACAATGGCTTTGTTTTCAAGAATTGTCTTAAGATTTTGTGAGCAGAACTCCAATTGAATATACAGATGATTGGACTCAAGCCATGAGTGATAATATTTAACCACAAAATCTGAGTCCAATTTTGACAAACTTTTTACTTCATTCAGAATTCGAAATCTCTTTTCTGAACTAAAATCTGGGAAAATAATTGTTTTTAAAATTTAACGCAAAATAAAGTTTATTACAATGTTTTAAAACCTTACCCCCAAATTGTACTCTTTTAATGGCATATATCTTATCATCCAATCTATGCTTTACTTTAAATACAGTCCCAAAACCACCCGAACCTATGGTCGAGATCTCAATGAATTGTCTTTTATAAATACTGTCACTTGAATTATCACTCAAATCGCGATTACTTTTATCTTCACTTTTATTTTCACTTTTATTTTCACTTTTATTTTCACTTTTATTTTGTGATAAAATTATTTTTTCTTTTAGTTTATTCAAATCAATTGTATTATAAGTTATTTGACATTCATTGGCGTAAAAGTCGATAAAACTATTATAAATGGTTTCATTTTCATTCAATTCATTTCTTTCCTTTCCTTTTGATATTTCATATTTAAATGATTCTGTGAATAGATTTGTTCCAATTCCTCATAACAATGATTTGCACGTATTTTTCTGGGATATTTAGACAATCGTAAACTTCTACCAAATCTATCGGATTCTTCATCTTCATAAAAGAATAAAGACTTTGATGTTTGAAAATATGTTCCATTATTACTACGACTTATTGCTTTCACGCCATTTATAGATGATATCAATCGGGGTTTAATTACTTTATCATCCTTTATATTGTGTCCTAATTGATTGCTTCTATTATTACCCCAACTGAACACATGTCCATCAGATGTGATGGCAAATGAAATGCAGTACAAACAATAAATGGATTGTGTTTTATGACTATTTATGAATTGTATTTCAATTGGTGTACAAATATGTTCATTATTATCTCCGCAACCAATTTGTCCCCATTCATTCCAACCCCAGGCATACACCCGGCCATCACTGCTTAGTGCCAGTATGTGGTGATTACCACAACTGAGTTTTATAATGTTTATATCATTCAAATGCGATATAATTTCAGGTTTTAGGCAATGTTTTTCAATATGATCACTTCATGCTAATTGTCCGGCAGAATTACTGCCAAAACCGTATATTATATTCATATCATTCACTGCTATCACAAAATCACATCCATTGACAAAGTATTGTATGTTTTGATGACATAATTGTGTTATTATTTGTGGTGATAGTATAGGACTGTCGTGTCCTAAACCCAGACATCCCCTGAGGTTATTACCAAAACCAAACACATTCTGATCTGATGTTACGAATAATACTTTAGATGTTTTATCATAATCATTGAAAACGTGTAATTTTGATATATTTTCTTTAATATCTGTAGGAATACTATCACAAAGTTTAAACTTGTCTAATAATTCACACATTTTCACAAAATAATAATTAATTTTATAAATAATTATTACAATTACATTCAATGCACTCAAAATGTTTTGAATATCTGAAATGTAAAATTATTTAATTAATAAAATAAATGTTAAATATATTTCTATTGAAAGCATTTATAATAATCATTGAAAACTATTGGAAACACAGATTAACTGTAAATATAATTATAAATTTGATAATAACTATAGTTTGTAATAAAATGCAATTAACTAACGGGTTTTATAATTTATCATTTTATTAATCGGTTATATATATCAGTAAAATTACTGCTAGCACAATTTTAAAAATTTAGCATTTATAAATAAACTAAATTAACCAAGGTGCAAAATTGCTTGGCAAACAATTTACATGTATTATATAAAATATTTTGCAATAACAATGGAAAATTAAAAACATGTATACAATTAAAATTGGTGCTATTATTCTAATCATATAAATTTTTAAATATATAAATCTACGGTAAGACTACATTAACAAAATTTTGTGAAATTATTCTAAACTAGTTGTCCGCAATCAATTAATTATAGATGTAAACAACGGTTGTGTTATTTATTTGTAAATAGTATTATATCGATGAAAGGCTTTCAAGTTTAATGTAAATGATCTGCAAAATAAACATGTTCAGTAATATTAAAATAGGTTTTTCATAATTGTAAAGAATATAATGTACACAATTTTTAATATAGTCGATGGATCAGATTTTTCCACCAATTTTTTAATTATAAAATTTTTAAACTAGTTTGTTGGTTAATTTACTAATATATGAAACGCATTAACCATGTCCAATTTATTGCTGTATTAATACTACCTAACTTTAAAACACAATAAGAATTTAAATATTAATATTTTTTATTTGCAGGTTTTTACAATGATTTACAACTTATTTAAATTAGAAATAATGATATTATATGATATAATAAATATGATATAATAAGTACTTTTGAATAATCTATGGTTGAAATAATGTTTAATTTGTAAATATTTGTGTTTATGATTCTTGTGATTTATAAATTATTATTAAATAATTAATTACAATCGCAAATACAATACACAATATAAATACAAATAGATGCCAATAATTTGAGAAAATATACTCATTAACCGGTGGATGAAGTATAGGAGGGGACAAATCAGTGGTCAAATCAGTCACCAAATCAGTGGTCAAATCAGTCGTCAAATCAGTAGTCAAATCAGTGGTCAAATGAGTAGTCAAATCGGTATAATGTAATTTAAACATAAAAAAGTCATAGAAAACTAAATTATTATTAGATTTAAGTCTATTTAACACTGAATCAAAATCCTTGTGTTTCGTTACAATAGATTTATCGATAGACCACTCGTTATATTTAGCCAACACTTGCCGACACTCAGGTCTTTGTCTCCAATTGGGTGTTGACATCATTGCCAGAAGTGTCCGATATATACACTGTAAGGATGTCTTAAATTCCGAATCGTATGCAACAAAAGTTTGAGTACTTTATATAAATAGGGAATACAATAAGAATTTACATGATAACTAAAATGATTGCAAAATACTTACGCCTGAAGATCGACATTAAATAACTGTTCGCCGATAACATAGAGGCTATAAATATCCGATTTATGAGTATATGGTTTACCCAAATGTGTTTCGGGAGACATATACTTAATAGTGCCCACACCTGATGTGTGGCCGTATCGGCTGGAAGTGTGACCATCAATGTTGATCTCTTTGGCTAAACCAAAGTCACATAATTTTATTAAACGATTGGATCTGAAGTTGGGATCAATTAATATATTGTCGGGTTTGAGATCCCGATGAATGACTGGAGGATTGGATTCATGAAGATATTGAACACATTCTAACAGTTCTTTAAATATTTCGCATGAAATGAAATACTCGAACACACTATTCATGTGGTCTTCCGGTTGTCTCTCAAATACAATGGCTTTGTTTTGAAGAATTGTTTTAAGATTTAGTTCACAGAATTCCATCTGAATGTAAAGATATTTGCATTCAAGCCATGAGTGATAGTATTTAACCACAAAATCTGAGTCCAGTTTTGCCAAACTTTTTACTTCATTCAAAACTGTAAGTCTTTTTTCTTCACTAAAATCTATGAAAATAATCATATTAAAAATTTAATGCAGAAATATGTTGTTTTTTAATTTTACCCCCAAATTGTACTCTTTTAATGGCATATATCTTATCATCCAATCTATGCTTTACTTTAAATACTGTTCCAAAACCACCCGAACCTATAGTCGAGATATCATTGAATTGTCTTTTATAAATACCTTCACTTGAATTATCACTCAAATTGCAATCACTTTTATTTTCATTTTTATTTTGTGATAAAATTATTTCTTCTTTTAGTTTTATCAAATGAATTGTATTATAAGTTATTTGGTGTTCAGTTGCGTAAAAGTCAATAAAACTATTGTATTTTGTTTCTTCCAATTCGCCCATGTTCCAGAGACTACGTATTATTGTGTGTATTTTATCGTTCATTAAAATACATATTAAGTCATTTTTATGATAATATGAATAGATTTGTTCCAATTTAATATAACAATTTTTTGCGTCAATTTTTAGGGGGCCCCTAAAGAAAATCGGGCTTAAAAATTTGGTAATTTTATCCACTTGAAAAAATAAATCACAGAATAAACCATTTACTGTTTGAAAACACATCATGATAGAACTACTACTAATTGTTTTCACATCATTTATTGATGATATCAATCGGGGAATAATTACTTTATTATTGCTTATTTTGTGTCCCAATAGATTGGCATCATTGCGCCCCCAACTGAAGACATGTCCATCAGATGTGATGGCAAATGAAGAGGAATCATAACAGTAAATGGATTGTATTTTATGACTATTTGTAAATTGTATGTCAATTGGTGTACAAATACACTCATTATTATCTCCGCAACCAATTTGTCCAAATTTATGCCAACCCCAGGCATACACCCGGCCATCACATGTTAGGGCCAGAGTGTGTTCAGTACCACAATTAATTTGTATAATATTTATATCATTAAAATAGGAAATTGGTTCAGGTTTTAGGCATGTTTTAAGATCACTTCGTCCTAATTGTCCGGCAGAATTACTACCAAAACCGTAAATTATATTCATATCATTCACTGCTAACACAAAATTACATCCATTGACAAAGTATTGTATGTTTTGATGACATAATTGTGGTATTATTTGTGGTGATAGTATAGGACTGTCGTGTCCTAAACCCAAACATCCCCTGAGGTTATTACCAAAACCAAACACTTGTTGATCTGTTGTCACAAATAATACATTAGATTTTTTGTCATAATCCTTAAAAACGTGTAATTTTGATATCTTTTGTTTAATATCTGTCGAAATTTTATCACAAATTTCAAACTTGTTGAATAATTCACACATTTTCACAAAATAATAATTAATTTTATAAATAATTATTACAATTACATTCAATTCACTCAAATTGTTTTAAATATCTTAAATGTATAATTATTTAATTAATAAAATTATTTTTTGATTAAATGTATAAGAATTTCAATGAATAAAATACGTATATTTTATGCAATAGTAAGTCTAACAATACATCTCTATTGAAAGCATTTATAATAATCATTAAAAACTATTGGAAACACAGATTAATTGTAATAAGAAGTTACAACTTAATAAAACTTGATAATAACTATAGTTTGCAATAAAATACCATAAACTAAGCTTTTTACTTTAAAGGGCAGTGTAAGTTTATTGTAGATAAAATACAATTTATAAATTATTTACAATTTAGTGAACAGGGCAATTTTTAATTTCCTAATTGTCCTCTATATTGAATCATCTTTAATTATATGGATATAAAAAGTATCATTATCAAGTATTTTAGTTTTAAAAATAAATTAAGTGTAATTTTATCATTCGAATTAATTGTGATTACAGTAGACCGTGCAAACTCACATAATATTATCGTTTATTACACTAAGTGTTTTAGCAAACTGAAAGTAAGACTAATACAGCATGAAGTATATAGAGTTAATTTTTTATATTGCCGGAAATTATAACTTTTTCAAAATATGTACGCTATCTAGAATTAATTTAATCAAAATTAATTATTCGAACACATGATCTGAATTTACTAAAAATAATTAAGTATATTATTTAATAAAAATATTATTTTTTAATGGTGAATACAATATTATTAAATAAAATATATTTCATAAAATTAAATAAATTTATTCCTTTGTTTTGCGAAATAAAATCTCATAAAAAATTGAATTATTATAAGATTTAAGTTTCTTTAAAACTGAATTGAATTCTTTGTGATCTTTGATAAATGTTTTTTCAATTGACCACTCGTTATATTTAGCCAACACTTCTCTACATTCAGGTCTTTGTCGCCAAAAGGGTGTTGACATCATTGCCAGAAGTGTTTCATATATACATAGTTTGCATGACTTTAACGATTCATTTATATTAAATGATTGCGAGCTATAAATTCATAAAATATACAACAAATATATTAAACATTTCAGTAAACTAATAAACTATTAATAAAAAACACTTACACCTGTAGATCGATATCAAACAATTGTCCGCCGATTATATTCAAACTATAAATATCTGATTTGTGGTTATATTTACCACTAAATACTTCGGGTGCCATATATCTAGAAGTGCCCACAACTGAGTTACTCGCAGTAACATTTGTGTTGATCTCTTTGGCTAAACCAAAGTCACATAATTTTATAAAACAATTGGATCTGAAGTTGGGATCAATTAATATATTGTCGGGTTTGAGATCCCGATGAATGACTGGGGGTTTAGATTCATGTAAATATTGAACGCATTCTAACAGTTCTTTGAATATTTCACACGAAATGAAATATTCAAACACACTATTCATCTTATCTTCGTGTTGTCTCCCGAATACAATGGCTTTGTTCTTAAGAATTGTTGTCAGATTTAGTGAACAAAATTCCATCTGAATGTAGAGATAATTGCATTCAATCCATGACTGATAGTATTTAACCACAAAATCTGAGTCCAGGTTTGCCAAACTTTTTACTTCATTCAAAACTGTAAGTCTTTTTTCTTCGCTAAAATCTATGAAACTAATTGTATTTAAAATTTAATGCAAAAATATGTTGTTTTTGAATTTTACCTCCAAATTGTACTTTTTTAACGGCATATATCTTATCATCCAATCTATGCTTTACTTTAAATACAGTCCCAAAACCACCCGAACCTATGGTCGAGATATCAATGAATTGTTTTTTATAAATACCTTCACTTGAATTATCACTCAAATCGCAATCACTTTTATTTTCACTTATATTTTGTGATAAAATTATTTTTTGTTTTAGTTTATTCAAATCAATTGAATTATAAGTTATTTGGCATTCATTGGCGTAAAAGTCAATAAAACTATTATAATTTGTTTCATATTCATTCAGTTCATTTATTCCCTTATCTTTTGATATTTTATATATTTTATCGATCATTAAAACACATATAAATCTATTTACACTATTCTGTGAATAGATTTGTTCCAATTCTTCATACCAATTATTTGCACGTATTTTTATGGGATATTTAGACAATCTTAAACTTCTAATAAATTTACCGGATTTTTCATTTTCATAAAAGAATAAAGAATTTGATGTAAGAAAATATATTCCATTATTACTACAACCTATTGTTTTCACGTCATTTATAGATGTTATCAATCGGGGTTTAAATATTTTATTATCAGTTATATTGTGTCCCAATTGAAGAATTGTATTGTCGCCCCAACTGAACACATGTCCATTAGATGTAATGGCAAACGAAGAGGTATAAAAACAATAAATAGATTGTATTTTATGACTATTTTTGAATTGTATTTCAATTGGTGTACAAATATATTCATTATTATCTACACAACCAATTTGCCTGAATTTATTCCAACCCCAGGCATACACCCGGCCATCACTGCTTAGTGCCAGAGTGTGTTCATTACCACAACTAACTTTTATAATATTTATGTCATTAAAATATGATATTATTTCAGGTTTTAGGCAATGTTTTTCAATATGATCACTTCGGGCTAATTGTCCGGCAATATTACTCCCAAAACCGTATATTATATTCATATCATTCACTGCTAACACAAAATCCAATCCATTGACAAAGTATTGTATGTTTTGATCACATAATTGTGGTATTATTTGTGGTGATAGTATAGGACTGTCGTGTCCTAAACCCAGACATCCCCTGTAGTTATTGCCAAAACCAAACACTCGCTGATCTGATGTCACGAATAATACATTAGGTTTTTTATAAAAATCATTGAAAACGTGTAATTTTGAAATGTTTTGTTTAATATCTCTCGGTATTTTATCACAAATTTCAAACTTGTCTAATAATTTATACATTTTAACACAATATTAATTATTACAATTACATCAATGCACTCAAACTGTTTTAAATAGTTTAAATGTAAAATTATTTAATTAATAAAATTAATGTTTGATTAGATGTATAAGAATTTTAATGAATAAAATACGTATATTTGTGTAATAGTAAGTCTAACAATCATTTCTGTTGAAAGCATTTATAATAATCATTGAAAACTATTGGAAACACAGATTAATTGTAAATATAAGTTATAAAACTTGATAATAACTATAGTTTACAATAAAATGTCATAACCTAAGCTTTTTTCACCTTAAAGGGCAGTGTAAGCTTATTGTAGATAATATACATTTATATATTTATAAATAATATTATAGTTAATAATATAAAGTACAGTTAGCGTTGCCAGATATACAGGAATGACCTGTGTTATACAGGATTTAAGGAATATTGCAGAGTACAGGAAGGTGTCATTCCTATACATTGAAAAATATAGAAATAAATATTTTAGCAATAAACAATGAAAATACTAAAATATTCAGATTTGTTAGTAATATTAGTCTTATACACCTACTATTTATCCATAATCTGAACTAATGCTAGAGATTAAATGAATTTAAACTTAATTAATTCAATTCTAAAGACTATTGTACAAACACTCAAATTTTCGCAAAAGTATGATTCTTTGGAAATTGTATGAATTTGTACTTTTGATTGTAAAACAATGAAATACAGGAAAATACGGGCATTTTTGGTAAAATTGTCCCAATAATACAGAATATCCAATATAATATATTATTTTCTGGCAACGCTAAGTACAGTACATATATCCGATCTAGTTGTTAATTTGATTTCAATACGATTTAGTGACCAGCGCAGTTTAATTTCTGAAATGTCTTCTATATTGAATCATATTTAATTATATGAATATAAAAATTATCATTATCAACTCGTTTTAAAAATAAATTAAAATGCATTGTTAAGTCAGATTAATTGTTATTATAGTACTTTGCATACTCACATACTATCGTTTATTACAAAATTAGCAAGCTGAAAGTATACAGTGTACTGTACAGAGTTAATGTTTTATTGCACACTGTTCAACTCAATTAATAATTTTTAAACATAGACCATTTTTTAGTAATTAATAAATGTTATTTTGTAGTTTCAAATGAATTGACTCCCAATTGAAAATGAAAGCTACGTTTATAATATACAGTAGTGTTAGCCAAACGCGATCATCATTTGTGTAAGAATAGAGTGACCAACATATAAACTATAAGCACAACTATTGAATACTCATTTTTGATAATTTATAAGTAATTAGAAATACATTTATATTTCTGGAAATTTTGAAAGAAAAAGCTTAAAAATGTTATTATTTGCTAAACAATTTGATTTTCTATTAAATTATTAATATATAAATTCATGTGATTTGTTGAGGGAATTGGCCACTCTAAAAAAATCGGACGCGTCCGATTTTTGGCTAACAGTAATATACAGGTATATTTATTCAATACACTTACTTATTATTGATCTTTATCAAGCTCAACCTAGTACTATTCCTGGCTATGTTGAGAAAGTCTTAATTGGTTAAATATATTATTACCATAATTTAATCCTAACTTTACTTGATAATAATTGTTTTAAACATAGGATATACACCATATGTATTAACACACGCAGTAATAAACATATCGACAGTATGCACGCGGGGCTCTTATTTAGCCAGCATGATTTTAAGTGCTACTTACCCCGAGTACCTCACGTGCAACGGTTACCATGTGTTTAGCGGACCCTTTCCGGGCTATGTGGGCACCGACTTGCGGGGCAATGCTGTGCCCCTACCCGTCAACAATGCAACTGCTATTAGAATTTCTACGAATGGTAAAGTTTGTAATTTATAAAATTTTTATATAAATGTACTTTATATGTTAATTCAATTAATGTGTTTTAAAATATATTTCTGCTCTATATTGTATTTAACTTTACATGGTATTTAGTGCGTATTATACAAGCATATTCTAAAGTTTAGAATAGTTTAGAATCTAAACAGATTGTAATTTATATAACCTAGGTGCTGCATTTGAAATAATCAAGGGCAGAATTACTGGCGGTCCATGTGTTGGGGATTTCTTTTATCAAGCTGTAAACGCAGTGCCCGTAAATCCATCAGGATGTTTTGGTAGTGGCCATAGGGGTGCGATTATAAATCATTGCATTACCAAGGTAATTGGTCACCGATGTCAATCCACATGCCAGTTATGTGTGAATGGCACATTTTTATTAACGCCTCCCTATATTACTAATTGGGGACCTATTTTTAATTAAAATTGTTAATATCGGGGGTGTTTTTACATAAGTGGTATGTTAACATGTTAAATGAGGTATTATAGTTGATATTTAATTACAATAATCATGTTATTTCAGTCTTATTTAGCAATAAATTAATAATTAAAATAATAAAACATAATTATATTTAATTTTAAATAAAATGAAATCCAAATTCTAATCTGAATTAAGAAAAATAAATTAAAATTCATTTTATAACTAAATAAATTGTAACTTTAAAACAGTCTGCAAAACACATCATTTATTATATAATCTGCAAAATGAAAATATAATTTAGCAAGAATATGTTTTTACAACTTTATTTTAAATTACCTAACTAGTTTTTATTACAGACTGTTCAACTCATCAAATAATGTTTTATTATGTGTAATCTATTTTAATAATTATTAAATGTTATTTTGTGAATTGAGCAACATTTGAAAATGAAGGCTATGTGTATATTATATACTTATTTAATTCAATTAATTATTATTGATCTTTATCATGCTCAACCTAGTGTTATACCTGGCTATGTTGACAGAGTTCTAATTGGTTAAATATAACTTTACCATATTTTAATCCTAACATTTTTTAAATAATAATTGTTTTAAACATAAAATCCATTGGATATACACCATATATACTAACAAATGGCACCACAAATATAACGACGGTATGCACGCGGGGCTCTTATTTATCCTACATGGGCATAAGCGGCACTTATCCCGAATATCTCACGTGCAACGGTTACCACGTGTTTAGTGGACCCTTTCCCGGCTATATTGCCACCGATCTTCAGGGCAATGCTGTGCCCCTACCCGTCAACTATGCAACTTGTGACAGACTTTTTGTGAATGGTAAATTTTAATAATACAATTTTTGATTTTAATGTAAATGTACTGTATATAGTTATAATAATTATTTCTGTGCTACACTATATTGAACTTTACATTATATAATAAAGTTTTCTATACTCATATTCTAATGTATACTAAATAAAATTCTATTATAACTTATATTGTAACTTGATTGAATAATTTAGGTGCTGCTTTTGAAATAATCAAGGGCAGAATTACTGGCGGTCCATGTTCTGGTGATTTCTTTTATCAGGCTTTAAACGCGGTGCCCATTAATCCATCAGGATGTTTTGGTAGTGGTTTACGGGGCACGATTATAAATCATGCCATAACCAAGGTGATTGGTCACCGATGTCCATCCATATGCTAGTTACGTGTTAACGGCTCATTCATATTGACGCCTCCCTATATCACTAATAGCGGGACTATATTTGAATAGCATTATTATGTATTGTCACATAATTTATGTCATTGTGTAATTGTAATAATAAAGTTTTAAAATATTTATTTTAAGAATTTATTAAGAAATTATTTAGTTAGTGTGTAAATTAAATTTGCTTTATTAAGTCACATAGTAACTTAATATTTATCATCTGGTACATTAATTGAAGTGTAATTTATTAATTGTATACATGTTTATTACAAGTGGTAATTACTAATGTGCTAACAAGTATAAGGTTGAGTTGATTATTAACAAAATCAAATTGTTTTTACAAATTATATCATTATAAATAATAAATAAAAATGATTGGTGTGATTGTTATATATATTTGCCTAGCTCAATTAATAGGCAATTATTCTAATACTGTTCAGTGTGCTCCCTATGCTACTCCCATACCTGGATTTACGGATATAGTCATTATTGGTTAAACATATATTTTATTATATAAATCAACCGCGTTTGTTTTAGACTTAACCGTAGACTTTAATGCTAAAACTTATTCATTAAACTTATTGTTAAATATATAATTAGATTGTTAGCATTTTATATAAAAATTAATTTAATAATATAAACAATTGTTTATTTGCATAAAAACACGTTTTTACATAAAAAAATATCTGATTTAATTGTGTTTAAATGTTTTTTAAAACGTTCAAAACTTAATTTCAATGTTTGAATATAATGTAATGAATGGGTTTTAACATTAGTCCTTATGATTAAGCCTAAAACAAACGCGGTTGATTCATATTATATTGTATATTTAATTTATATAACATAATAACAATGTGTTTTTATAAAACAAATTATCCATAGGTATTACACCGTATATACAGACAAATACCGTCATATATCTGACAACGGTATGCACGGGTGGTTCATATTTTACCAATATCTATTTGAATGCAACTTTTCCAGATTACCTCACGTGCAACGGATATCATGTGTTTAGTGTAGTGTTCCCGGGCTATGTCGGGATCGACCATCAGGGAAATAATGTGGTCATGCCTATGAATAATGCTACTCTTTATAGAAATTCTGTGAATGGTAACTTAAAAATTTATTTAATATACCATCCTATTAATCTAATTATTAATATCATTATCATCAACACCTAAGCCAAACATAATATAAGTCTAATAAGAATTCATTATGCAATTTAATAAACTACATGATTTTATTGTGACCTAGGTGCGTTATTCGAAATAAAAGTGGGTAAAATAACGTCGGGTCCATGCGCAGGTGATTCATTCCAACAAGTTGCAACCGCTAAGCCTTATCCACCAAATGGTTGCTCTGGTAGTGGTGTCAGGGGTTGGATCGCTAATTCTGCCAATTTAAAGGTGATTGGCCCCCGATGTCAATCCACATGCGATCTACGTGTAAATGGCATAGTTCAATTCACCCCTAACTTTCTTACTAATACTGTAAATAATTAATAGTAATTTTTCTATATAATGCATTAAATAATGATAATGGAAGTATTACATTGTAAACAGTTTATATTGAAAAGTATAATGATTATTTAATTTGGCGATAATTACAATGTAATACGAATAATTAATAAATAATTATTTTTAATATTACTGATATAATTTACTTTTTCAAAGTATTTGTTTTATTAATTTTTATATTTAATTCTATTGTGGTCATTACTATTATGTTATTAATTATTATAATGTGTTCGTTAATAATTAATCAATTGTATATAATTATTGAATGCAGTACAATTGTACTTAAGTATAATACATTACAATATAAAAGTGAGTAGTCTATTAACAAAATCAAAAATCAAGTAAAACTCAAAGCGTATAAATGCGGGCAAATGAGGGTTAGATTACAGCGTATTGTCTACCTTTTGCGTAGTCCTGAAAAAACAAAAATCAAATTGTTTTTAATTCATATGAAATAAATAAAAATAAAAATGATTGCTGTGTTTGTTATATATATTTGCTTAACTCAATTAATAGGCAATTATTATAATACTGTTGAGTGTGCTTACGTTTCTCCCATACCTGGAGTTGTGGATATAGTTACAATTGGTTAAATAAATTTTAATTATTTAACATTTAAAGAGAATTTTTAATTTATATAATACAATAACAATGTTTTTATAATTGTTATTTTTTTGTCTGTTAATTGTTATAATTTATCTGTAGGGACACCATATATACTTACAAATGGCACAATATACCAATCAACGGTATGCACTGGTGACTCCTATTTTACCATGATGATATTGAACGGAACCGCTCCCGAGTACCTCTCGTGCAACGGGTATCACGTGTTTAGGGAACCGTTTCCCGGATATGTTGGTGTCGATCATCGGGGAAATACTGTACATTTACCAGTTAATAATTCTACTGTTATTAGAAAATCTGTGAATGGTAAATTAAAAATTTATAAGTTTATTATGTGATTTAATAAACCACAAATTTTTATTACGATCTAGGTGACTTATTGGAGATAATCCAGGGTAAAATATCTTCGGGTCCATGCGCAGGTGATTTATTATATCAAGCTGCATATGGTGTGCCTAATCAACCGGACGGGTGTTTTGGTAGTGGCGTAAGGGATATGACTGTAAATTTTGCGGTAAACAAAGTGAGTGGTCCTAACTGTCAGTCCACATGTGAAATGCAAGTTAACGGATGGTTTCGATTTAGCCCTAACTTTCTTACTAATACTGGTATTATTGGATAATAATTGATCTATCTCTAATATACATTTAAAAATGTTAATGTAAGCATTTAATAGTTTATTTTGAAAAATACTGTTTACTGCATATTTAATTTAGCGATATTTATAATGTATAAATTAATAAATAACTATTTTGAATATTACTGTTAATAATTTGAATTTACATACAGTATTTGCATTTATTTATCTGCCAATATGTGTACAATATTTATTTATTACCGGCACATAGGTATGTTTTTAATATTTTATTAATCTAAATTATTTTTAATACTACTCAACATATAGTGTGTAAATTAAATTTGCCTTAATTTTAAATAATTTTATGCAATATCCATAATATACTGTAATTAATACTAATTTAAATAGATTTCAAATTATAGTTAATGTCTTAATTCACAATAAAAACACTAATAAATGTAAATTTGATAAATAAATGCATACAAATAAAATGTATAATTAATGTAAATATCAAATTACTTATTATTTTAATTCAAAAAACATTTTCACGTAACCAATACTTGGGTATTATTCAGTGAGTTAACGCTAAATACATGATATAATTTACACAGTTATAACTACAAAACAAACTAACCATGGCCGATTCCGGTCCGAAATTTGACCCTACTCAACCTTTAGACGAGGACACTCGTATCGTAGAGGCGGGCATTCACCTCTATAAATTTGGGCCCTCCTTATATCCGGTGAGTCGAGTAAAGCGCAGCCGATTCCGGCACCCGGCCATCATATTCACGACATCCCTCTACTATATCCTACGATCGCTATTTGTATTCCTGGAGCCCAAACATGACATGTATTTCTACCAAAAATTGGGTGATTTTGGGTATATGTTTGGCGATAAAGACAACTACAATATCGTTGTGATGTTCACTATATTGTTGTCATTTTTCTCGCAAATCTACAATTTCTACGCCTATTGGCGCGGAGTTGAGCCCACATTCATGCGGGTGTTTGATATGATGGCCGGCGTCCGATCGCCCCAATCCATGGGCCTCAGAGATCCGGTCATCATAGGGCGACTGTTGCGCCGGACCAGGATCGCTTTTCTCATAGGCAACAATGTGCCCAACTCGCTGAGTTTTACCATATTCTGTTTGAACTTTTTCCTGTTCCTGAACCACTCGACACTGGATCAGATGGTGATGTATGTCATACCGCACTCGTTTGGCTGGGGTCTCATCGTTAACTACATCTATAGCATAATCTTCTGGCAATTGATTTACTTTTATTTGATCGCATTTTACCTGAAGTCTAAGCTAAAGGAGATGAACGGCCGACTGGAGGCCCGCCGTTACGGCAAATGGCCCATCAGTTTCTATCACGTGAACGAGTCGTTGACCAGAATATACGGCGAGATCGGCGAATACAACACCTATTGGTGCTATTATTGCCTGTTTGTGTGGACCACTTGCGCTGTTATACTAAGCACTCTGTCCTTCTTCATCATCTTTGGCGATATGTCACTAGTCTTACGCTTTTTATGCCTGTATTTCGACGCCTTCTTCGTCTTTCTGCTGCTTCTTGTGATCAGAATCTGTTCCACAGTTTATTTGGAGGCAAACAAGTCGTACAAACTGTTGAACACTTTGATGTGTCGATGGGATCAGAAGAATCCGTGTAAAGCCATCAAGGTTAGTTTGGTTTCAATCTGGATTAGTTTTTTATTTCAATTTTTATGCGTTTACTTTAGTTAACAATATGGTTTGATCTAGTTGTCTTTATTTTGCTTTCGGTTATTGTTTTTTTATTATTTTTTATTTAATTGTAAATTTATTTATTTTTAATTGTCTTATAGTTATTGATTATAATGGAGAGAATCGGTAAAAGGAAAGTCGGGTTCACCTGTTGGAAACTATTCATCATAAACTCCTTTCGCGGATACGAGGTATTCATTGTTATAGCAATTGTTTAAACCTATATTAATTAATTGTGATTTATATGTACTTATCAACAGATAATAGCGTTTTGTATTTTGCTGTTCATGAAAGTGATCGAAGAATAAAATACTACAGTTCTGTAGTCTCTGTTATATTTATTTTTGCATAAGTTTTTAGTGAGATTGAATTTTGGGGCATAAGAGTAGTTGTTTATCAAACAATTATTTTTTTGTGTAAATAATATATGTTATTTATTCAAATAATATTAGATAATAATAATATTTTTAAAGTAATTCAATTCATAATGAATTTCATTAACAAAATCTAATCAATATTCGCATAAATTGTATGAGAATTAAAACATTTTGAATGTCAAAGATTTTCATATGAAAACTTATATCTAATTATAAGATAACTAAAATTTAATTATAACTCAATGGCAAAGTACGGTAGTATCCCTTTTAAGTGTTTCCCCTATTTATGACTTCCTATCCTCAAGGTACTTTGTAAGTGATTTTCATCTTTCTGTATTGTGTAATTGATTATAAATTTTACCACATTTATAAATGCAATTAACAATCATTTTATCTAAATTTAATGTAATTTACATTTGACATTTTCGAAATAAACATTACTATTTTTAATATAGTGGTTATATTTTAACTCAAAATTTTATTTAAAATTTGAAGTTATCTTATTTAAGGTAAGTAAATATTAACAGTAAACGTATTAACATAATTTCGTGTATAAAGTGTACGGTATAAATAATTTTATCAATAAATATACTGTATAAACATTGTAAACACTTGGTGCTTTTTATATAAAGCCTTTACCTTTGTATAAATATATTTTTTATATAGTTATATTTATATTTTAAAACTAATTTTTAAACATATTTTAAAATTTGTTATAAATTGCATTCACTAATTATATGAAGTTATTTTGTTAATATTTTCAGTATGTTTTTATTACAAGTGATTTTTTGGATTTATTCAAATAAATTAATTTTGTTGTTAACTTTATTCATATATATTTTATCAAAACAATTATATAATGAATATCGTCTGAGAAATGCGTTACCCCCGGGTCCTATTGGACTACCATTTATCGGGTATATGCCATTTCTTAAGGGCGAGCCCTCCAGAGTGTTCGTACAATTGGCCAAAAAATACGGACCAGTTTTTGGGTTTGTTTTTTATAAATTTATTTCACTACAAAAAATTAATTAATCAAATTTTTTCATTAAAAGCCTGCAAATGGGTTCGCAACCAGTGGTGGTTCTCAACGACTGGCCGTCAATAAAAGAGGCACTTTCTCACAATTCGGCTCTACATCGGCCTAAACACAACTTCTTTAACACTGCATTTCCTGCGGGTGTTATTTGTTAATAAAAATATTAAACTAAATATCACTTATTTAATAAAAATTACCACTTTTTTCAGGGTTTGCGGCAATTAGTGGCGACGACTGGAAAGTACAAAAACGGTTTACTTTCCATCAGTTAAAAAATCTTGGTTTTGGTAAGACATCGATGGAGGACCACATCATCGATGAGATCAATCATATGTGTCAAGTGTTGGACGCGAAAGAGGGACAGGAACTTGAGTTCAGGACTATATTCCCGATTAGTGTTTCAAATAATGTAAATTCCCTTAACTTCGGGCGACGTTTTGATTATACGGACAGTAAAAAGAAAGCGATCGATGAGTTCCTGAAAATGGACCCGAGTATTAACATAACAGGGTTCATTGCCTTTTATCCCATTTTAGCACGATTTCTATTGAAATATCTAACATTTCTATTGCCCTCATCTCTACAAAACACTACTAATATTGTTAAGGGAGTGACAGATATTATCAGGTATTTATTCAACACAACTTTTACTTATAAATAATATAATCAATTAAAACAATAATCTGTTTTAATCGGTTATATTTAGGACTGAATACGAAACACATGTGAAAACATTTGATGAAAACAATAATAGGGATTATTTAGATGCTTTTATCGCTGAATTGCGAGTGAATAAGCATGGTGATAATAAGACATTTAATTGTGAGTATAATATTATTTTACATTTAAATTATTATTAAATTACTAAATCATAGACAATATGCTGGCGGGAAATGCCTTTGATTTGTTTATTGGCGGCTCGGCTACTGTATTGATGACCCTCGAGTGGGCGCTATTGGTTTTGGCCACTAATCCACAAATACAACAACACTTACACAAAGAGATTGATGACGTGATCGGCGGTGAAAGGAGTCCTACGTTTGCCGATAAAAACCAAATGCCTTTTTTACAGGCATTCATGTATGAGGTGTGGAGGTTCAGGACAATTGCCCCAATTAATCCAACTCGATGGTATTACTTTTTAATATCTCTCTCTCTCTCATACCTTTCCATTGATATATAATATGATAGACTTATTCATAGAATAAAAGATTTGACTTTCAGATTTTTCCCGATAAAAGTGGTCACTGCGGTCAAACACTCTCTCTCTCTCTCTCTCTCTCTCTCTTATTTATATAACAATTTGCGTTAACTTTCAGTGCGTCTAAAGATATGGTAATCTCAGGATTCAAAATACCAAAAGACACTCAAATTTTGGTCAACTTCTGGGCCATTGATAACGACCCAAACCTTTGGGATAATCCATCGGAATTCAGACCCCAAAGGTTTCTCAGCGAAAATCTCAAGACATTCAAAAAACCCGAGCATTTGATACCATTTTCATACGGTTTGTATTGATTTAACAAATAATAGCTTCACTAATGCAAAGGTGTTGTGCATTAGGGAAGAGGTCGTGTCCGGGAGAGGGCTTAGGAGTTGTCGAAGTGTTTCTATATCTGAGTTCTTTGCTTCAGAAATACGACATCAAAGCCAACCATAAAACCGATCAAAACCTTGAATATGAGTTTCATCTGTTAATCACTCCGAAACACAATACTGTCTTCAATATCACTAAAAGACACAAAACAACGTTTCGCAGAGCGGATGAATCGGGTAAACGCGGGTAGAATTGGATAAACGCGGGTATTTAAGACTAACATACTCTGTAATGAATTTTTATACTGTACATTCAAATATAATGTAATCATATAATGAAAATGGTGGATTGTGTTAATTTAATGAATTTAATTATTTAAATTACAATTTTGTGTAAAATTATTTTAAATAATTTGTTCAATTTGTCAATCGCTCTCTCAATGACACTGTCTGTCACTCATTTATATTTCTCTCATTTTGAAAACTCTTTAGACAACATTTTCAAAGTAATTGTAATCGCAATTGTGATTCATGTTTATATACTAATCACAATACAACAACAATAATACCTGGATAAAAATTATTTTAATAAAATCTGCACTGTTCTGGTTTAAGTTTGTAAAGTTTTAGCAAACATTATTTTAAACACAAGCATAATAAAATATTGTGTCAAAACTCATTAAAATAATGTAATTATTTTCAACAATAATCTATAAATGCAAAAGTTTTGTCGTCAGAAAATTGATGTCTAAATTAATAAAATGTGTTTTTAAATTAAAAATCTATGTGGCAATTAATTGTTTTCAAACAATTTACAAAGGAGGATGCCCATTTTGGGGATAGCGTGCAACCGGGAATTATTGTTATAAAATGAAAGTACTTTCTCTAAGGAATCGAGTGATATACTACATATGGTCAAGTGACCTCTGGTTTGACCGCAGTGACCACTTTTATCGGGAAAAATCTGAAAGTCAAATCTTTTATTCTATGAATAAGTCTATCATATTATATATCAATGGAAAGGTATGAGGGAGAGGAGTAATGTCCTAAAAGAATTTTTAAATTCTGACGTCAGTGACCGAAGTTACAGCAAGAATAAGAAGTTTGCTTACAATTATACGCGTTATTTATGGAGTATAATATTTTTATTTTAGTCCATTTACATGAATTATAATTATTGTGATCATGATTTTTACAATTTGAAAAAATTTTAAAATTTTTTATTTGCAATTTTGGGCCATTTAAGTATTAGCACTGAACAAATCCCTTTAATAAATAATTAATAATGTAAAACTTATTTTACTAACCTTACTTGACCAACACATTATCCCATTTCCTAGACCACCAAGGACAATTACATTTTTACAGACGAACAAGGTCACTTATAAGTTGATGCATAGTTTTTAATTAAATGTATTGATTAATAGCACAATATTATATATTATTCAATAGTATATTAAAATTTTCATATTTAAATTAAATATGCAATTATTGGCCTTCAGTTTACATAAAAGTCCTTCAATACACTTATAACAAAAAATTATTTCATCTATATTAATTGTTATTTGATTGATTAGTTATTTTTTATTTTACATTCTTGTATTAAATATTTAGTAAACAAGGAAATGTTCAATATTAATATCAATCAATCAGTATATATAGACGCATATTAATTTTACATGATAAAACTTGATTACATGTCTTTCATTTAAGTTTATTATAATATTTATAATATTGTTATGAATGGCTTCTTTTTTAGGGCCATATTTCATAACTGAAACGGGGGTTCTCCTTGAGAGGGAGAGCTCCCGTGGTGACCGACGAGTGGAGCACACACCCGAAGGTCGATCGAACGGTGTTCTCGTTAGGGAACCCCGTCCGATCCTTTCAAATACCAGTGGCGGGCGACGGGACGGTCATTGACCTCGACAGACCTCTGGAGTTGTTGACCTCCTAAGGGCAGTGACTGCGCTCCCATTCCCTCGGGCGTTTGCTGGTCGCGCAGATGTCCCTATCTCCGGAGTGATCCGTTGGTCTGTCGGTGGTCGCTGACCGTAGAGAAAAAGGGGAGGGGTAGGAATTGTGGCGGATGTCGGTTCCTTACACACCTAGATGGCAGCAGGTGGCGAATGGTGGTCGGGTCTACTGATGTCGGGAACGTCTGCGAATGCCGGGACCGTCTGCGGATGCCTGGAACGTCTGCTGGTCGTCCGGACGTCTACGGGTGTCGGGATCGTCGGTGGATGTCGGGAACGTCTGCGGGTCGTCGGGAACGTCGGTCCAGGCCAGGAACGTCTGTGGGTCGTCTGGAACGTCGGCACAGGTCAGGAAAGTCTGCGGGTCGTCTGGAACGTCTGCGGATGCCGGGCACGTCTGCGCGTCGTCGGGAACGTCGGCACAGGTCAGGGATGTCAGGCCAGCGAAGCGAACGTCAACCAATATGGCGGCCACTCGTGATAGCAGCTCGAACGTCAGAGAGATGTCGACAACACGTGACAGTAGTGTAGACGTCAGAGAGATGGCGGCCAACACGTGACAGGTGTGCGAACGTCAGAAAGATGGCAGCAACCACGTGACAGGTATGCGGACGTCAAAGAGATGGCGGTCAACACGTGACAGGTGTGCGGACGTCAGAGAGATGACGGCCAACACGTGACAGGTGTGCGGACGTCAGAGATGGCAGCAACCACGTGACCAGAGGACGAGACGTCACTCAGTATTGGTCAGGGGTCCACAGGTGTTCGTCAAGAATGTCGTCTGAGGGGGTCGCCCAGGGAATGTCCAGTAGTATCGCCAAGAGTGCCAAAGGAGGAACGCCAAGAGTTCGCCAAGAAATCGCCCAGGGGTCGCCACTGATAAGAGGAATTGAGTACTCTTTATGTCAATCAAATAAGTAAAACTTTATTGAATGTTTAATGCTCTGAGAACTCAATTAATTTTACATCAAATTTGCGTCTCTTTATATACCAAAATTTGTGGCGGACTTTGTGCACACATCCGGTGTCACATCAGATATGTGTACCCGTCCGTCACAAATTTATGCACAATTTACATTTTTATGTCTTGTTTTTTGTCAATTATGTGTTTTTTCCCGTTAATTATCTGTTTAGTGTGGTTTTGTCCAGTTTTAATCTATTTGTTTTTGTCTAATATGTATTTTTTGTGACATTATTTTGTCAATTTTGTAATTTTATTTGTTTGTTATCAATGTTTGTGAGTGTTTTTGACGGTTAATAAATGTCATTAAATGTTTGTCTTATCTCCCTTTTCAGTTCATGTGTACTGTTATATGTGTTAATGTATGTGTTTGTGTCAACATATGGTAAGTATTTTGTATTGTTTTTCTATTGTATTTTGTATTTCAGTAATTAATTGTTTTGTTTTCTTATGTTTATTTGTTTATGGAGGCTTCGGGGGACTGGGGTTGCGGGTTCGGCTCTCTGGCCGCTATTATTAGGGGAAATAGGCATAACATAACGTATATCTATACTACTGTATACCCAATGTTATGCCTATGAATACACACGCGGGCGATGGCGCCCATCAATACACTGGTCCACTACAACACATCCAAAATGTATGCCGATGGTCAGCGGTACCACTACGACACGGCACAACCGGTGCGCCACTTTGGTCGCCACAAAAATGCACTAACAAGTGCTGGCAATGAGATGCCAATGAGTGCATACCGAGACGTAAGCCGCCCGCCGGTCACCGGCCACCCACAGGGTGTGCATGTGCCTGGCGGCCACCGCCACAACTCAGCACACCTGTTAGGCCAACAAAAGTTGGTCGCCTCGGCATATCGGGCCTCTGGGAGAGGCCCGCGTCTCCCCATGTATAAGGTATGGCTGGGTATACGCATACCTTATACCAATATTATAAACAGGAAATTATTTAATAGTTTTTTAAAAATTAAAAATTCGTTGTGTAACGAGTGTATTATTTAATGATAACAAAATATGTTTAGCTAGTTTACATATAAATTTTAAGGCTTTAAAGTTTAAACTACAAATAAGTAAATAACATAAAATGTCTAATTCAACGGTAAATTATTATAAAATATTATTATAAGTATTGATAACGTTGTGAATCAAAACTATGAAGTTTTCATCGCATATACGAGTGATATGTTTATTACTGCACAAGAATTGGTTAATCAGATCTCACCATAAAATAGCATTCATTTCGCTATTTATAATTCCCATCATTTGTGCGGCACTTATAGTCGCGACAAACGGCCGGACGTATGACAAAAAATGGCACTTTTATGGCCGACACTTTGGCTATAAGAGCACCGGCAACGAGAATAGGACCAGAAATGCCACTCATTACTCGCCAAATCAACTCTCCGACCGTTTACTATCGCGATATTTTCAGGTAAACACCATTCGTTATAATCCGCTGATAATCTACTATCCGGCTAATAATTACACTAATAAACTGATGAGCATGGTCAAAGACCATTTTAATCCAGTCGCCCATAATTATGAAATATCGCCTTATTATACGTTTGAAACACAAGGAGCTAACACTTTGCGTGAGCTAAACACCATGGTCAGTCGGGAATATAAGCTTAATAAATGGGATACATATGTCATCAGGTTTACCGGTGATAATGGTTGGGATGGACAGGGATCGGGTGCCGGTGCACTCAAACATCTGGCTTATAAATTAACAGATAATAACTTGTATTTCACAAACAATTTGTATCGACCGGTCGACGACTATTTCACCGGCAATTATTATCGACACTTAGTTTCCGACAGTTATATTAATTACCGATTTTGTAACATTCAATTAGCCGTCGATTTGGCGCACATATCACTTGTGACTGGAAATGCTTACTTTAATAATATCACAATAAACGAGCAGTTAATGCCATTTCCGGCCTATAATATCACAGACAAAACATTGTACACCCGACACATTAACTCCCTTATACTGATAGTGTTTCCTATAATATTTGGTCTGACATTAATGTTACCGATTGTTGTGAAACGTATAGTAGAGGACAAACAGACACTCATCACTGACTACTTGTTTCAATTGGGTGTCAATCGCACCGATCATTGGCTCACAATTATCATCGATGCCCTCACTGTCATTGGTGTCCAGCAGCTGATCCTAACGGCGATACTATGTTATCATAACATATATTATTACGAGGATTTACGTGCGACTGATCCGGTGTTAATCCGATCGCATTCATTACTTTTAGACATGTCTCTGTCATTGTTTACCGTATTTT